ATGTGTGTGTGGCAGGAGTGTGTCCTTTGCCAATATACTTTGCGCCAAATGGCGTTCCTTGTACTCATCTCAGAAAGTTTTGCGGTAAGTGGTAGTCATTTTCTGGTCACAAAAGTGGTTATATCCTGGGTACCTAAAATACTGTATACAGATGTGACTAGAAGCCTGTCTTGATGCACAAAGAAGGTAGTGGGGGCTTTGGCCCTTTCTACTGCAGGTAATTGCTTTAAAGTCCCTACCAAGCCTCCAGCAGCAGAGTAGGTAGATCTAGTTGCAGTTGCACAACAGCTTGGTTAGCACTTTTACCAAAATAATGTGATCTAAAAGGTGGCAAGCACACCAAAACACAACTGAATATCTGTGGTTCAGGCAACACATCCCAATCATCAGTGATTGATAAAGAAATACATATATTTCAAAACAGTCTTTATTTGTTTCTGATGTGTCTGACATTCAGAAAATAACAGAGAAGAAAAAGAACCCAAGTAAACAAGAAGAACAAAGCTAGGAGTAAATTTGGTTTATGAAAATCCCTTATCATATAATAAGTCATTAAGATATAAAGTAATCATTTAACAAGCAATCATAATTACTTTATAACTTGTTGCCTTGTTATATTGATGGTTTATACTCGGTCTACAATCAATATTTTATATACACTTAGAAATTTGTTTTTTAAATACAAGCAGCCTAAAATTACAAATCTGCAACTGTGCTAAACTTTCATACTCTACACTTATTTTTTTATTCTTAGTTTTTTTTTTTTATGTAATCAATTATAACCACATTCAGCTAGCTTCTCGCGTGTGCTTCCAGGCAGGGAAGTAATCTCTAATGGCATCACTAGGCCTGGTAACCCAAAGCACTTGCTCTGTGTCTCCTGCTGAATGCCGAAGGTGTTGACTGTAAACCAAGTATTTTTAAACCAATAGGTCTTGTTTTTAAGCACAAATATATTAAAGTGCTATCGAAGTCTTACCCTGTTTTATGTCTTTACAATACTTTGTCCCCTTATTTTATGATTTCTAACTAATAATGGTTGAAAATACCTTACAATATATTATAAGGCCATAAGTTTGATGACACCCCACCATTACACCTATATGAGATTGTTGGTCATCCCATTCCAAAACTATTGGCACAACATATGGTGTTGTCTTCCCTCCCCTCCTTTGCTATAACAGCCCCCACTATTTTGGGAAGGTATTTCACAAGTTTGAAAAGAGTGTTTCTGTTGTAATTTGTGCCAATTCAGCCAAAGGAGCATTCTAATGCAACCCAAATGTGTTCAGTAGTGCGGAGGCTAGGGCTCTGTGTACTCTAGAGTTTTTCCACACAAAACTCTTCAAACCATATCTTTATGTATCTCTGTGCAAAGGGACCCAGTGATTCCTCAACAGAAAATGACCTTCTGGCTGAAAGTGCACAATTGTCTAAAATGCCTAAAATCTCTTTGTACACTATAGTGTTAACACTACTGTTCACTGGGAACACCTAAACACAAAAGTTCAACACCTAAACAGACCACATACTTTTGGCCATTTTGGTGAGTGTGATGATTGGGTTTCCGAAACTGGGGGGGACTGGGGGCATATGCCCCGGGTGTTGCTTTAGGAGGGGTGCCAATGGGTGTGTGAATAGAGACCACCACTTCTTATTTCTTAAACTCTTAAACAATTTATAAAACATACTATTTAAAGTTATAACATTTCATGGAGTGTGATCTGAAAAAAAATGATTTTTGATTTACCAGTAAAATTCATTTCTTGGAGTACACTACAGGACACAAGCAATTCAGAGATGACTGGGTCATATGCAGGTATCAGCAGGTGATTGGACACTGGCCAGAGCTGTGAGGACCCTCATATAACCACACCCACTCCAGCAAATCCTCAGTTTTTTGTACTCTACTGAAAGAAACAGAACTTACTATTAAGTAAAAAAAAAATCATATTTCCTTGATTGCAGAGTGCAGGACACAGTCAATTCAGAGACGACTGGGACATCCCAAAGCAATGCGCTGAAAGAGGCTGTAACTGAAAGATAGACACAGACAGCCCTCGCACAACAATGGAGAGCTACTTCCTTAGGGTGCATCAGAGTCAGACAGAAGGAAGGTAGCACAATGTCCTCATTAAGATGGAATTAGGACACCCCCTTAGGTAGAAGATTGCCTAAGTCTCAGAACTACCTTATCCAGAATATTACCATAAACATAGCAAAGAAACCTAAAATACTAAACAGTATAGTTTACAGAACTCAATAGACTCTAAAAGACCCAGGTGCTCCCGGTACTGAAGATCTCACAGTATGGTGCACCCATTGTCTGGTGAACCTCTTTGACAGGTGTGAAAGTAATCCACACACCCACAATAGAACTTATTCTTCAGCAGTACTCAAGTACAAGTATTCCAGGCCCTTAGTCACATGCTGGCTGTGCAAGTGACCCCTGATAGAAGGGATATCAATCCAGAGCCACTGGAGAAACCAGCTCAGTAATATAAGTTCACAAGGCTCAATAAACAGAAGACTTGCCTCTCACCATACCCTGGATATCCCCCCACTTTGACTTGGTAGCGATGTCCAATGGTCCAGCACCCAGCATACCAAGTATCAGGGGGAGGAGTCAATAGTGTCCAATCTTTCAGAGATGGGGGAAGTGGTGGCACAAGGGACGGGATGATAGAAAGGCAGATGCACGTTATAGTATGGCAGCTGTGGCATCTGACCGCAGAAAGCCGCAAGCCATGGCATCTGGCCGCAGAAGGTCACAAGACATGTCCTCAGGAAGGGAAATCGTCCAACTGCACAATGCACAAACCCACGGGAGGGGAGGAGGAAACCAGAAACTAGAGAGACCTATCGAGCCTTTGGTAATGTCACGAGGATGTGACAATAAGGGCAGACCCCCCCCCCAAAAAAAATATATGGCAGCAAGTAATACCCAACCATGTGGCGCACACACACCTGCAGTAGCGTGAGAAGGGTCCGAAGGAGGCCCTTTTGGCACCATCCACCTATACATCAGTTGGCCACCTCAATGCCCATTTGCCACAGAGCTGAGAAAAGCCCCTCCACAGCATGGACACCAGTGTGCTAATCACAGCAAGGTGGCCAGGACCCCATATAGAACTCCAGTAGTTATGGATAAAGCACAGTCATTCCCTCAAACTGCAACAAGTGAACCACACCAAGCACCACACAACTGACACAGCAGAAAGGGGCAGAGGGGACAAAAAGTACCCACAGGCCACCCAGAGAGTAGAATAGGAAAGAAGGGAATTTCTGATACTCGCCATATCCCAATATGAAGAAAGAGGGGGTACTCTCCCTGTGACAGATCGCCTCTCCACCAGAATGGGGGTGATGTCCACCTGGGGGGACACTGTGAGAGAGCAGCAAGCCACTCTGTCATATGTGCCCCCCTGTAAGAACACTCAAAGGACTCCCTTACAATCAGGATAGGGTCATCTCATAGCCAACTCCACATGTAGCTAAGGATCTACATGTGCATGCTGGCTGAGCTGGGGTGACTACAAGGATCTATATTATCCAGCTTGTCACCCAGCTCAGCTGTTTATTAAAGGTCTTGAAGACTGCAGAAAAACAAAATAAAGGAAAAAAGGAAGGAATCCCTGCAAAAGAAAGGTTACCAGAGAACTAAGGTTACCAGAAGGGAGTTTAGGTCCTTACTCCTTGACACTAGCAAAAACGTGAGTTTCCTATAGCTATTAGGGGGTTTTGCCATGGTCAGGGGTCACATCTAGGCTGTGCTTTTGTTTTGTACCTATTGTCTTACTCCTGACGGTGGCACTATAACTCAGTGGTGAAGATCTTACGATCTCTGCTATGTCCTTCAATGAAGGAGAGAGAAATATCTTTATTGTATTTACAATTTCAAATATTAACCACCAGCTCTTTCCTGATCAGCACAGGAAGGAGAGCTAGAAGTATAAACACAATAATGCAATACAGATAATTAAAAGACTTACAGATATAAATGTAAAGCGACACTAAACTCAGGAGGTAAATCTTAAAAATGCATTCAAGTACCTTCAAGTACAAAATTTCCACTCGCCCCCTCGCAATTTGCTATGTCAGGGGTCTGTTTGGACCCCTAATATTTCCCCGAAGCCCCCCCAACAGTAAAAAAATAAATCATAAAATAAAAAATTATAATAAAAAAAATTATTGTATGTGTGTTGTGCTGTGTGGGCGTTGTGCCCTGTGTGTGTTTGTTTGTGTTTGCAGGGCAACTGGAGGCGAGTAACTTTGAAGGCCTGGCTAGTAGCTCAGGACCTGAAATTTTGAGCCCTGCCTTAACTATTAACAAAAATGTTATTTGGTATATCTTATTTGTGCATCACTTGCTCAAATCATCTTTGAATTGGTGCTAACACTGTCCTTCCTTCTGGAGGGTGGCTACATTTCTACTTGAATTACCTTATATAAACTAAAGCAGTAGGCAGTGATAAAATGTGTCAAGGTGGGTTTGAACACCCAAAGCTCCTAAGTGATCAAGAACAGAGTCAGGAAAAGTGGCAGGAAGATCTCACTGTTGGGTGCAAGATATATAGGAATTCAGGGGCTGACTAAGTCCACCAAGCTTATCTTTTAAACAGACTGGCCCTTTAATGTGAACTTCAATAATAAAGGTACATACATTTTTAGATATCTCTCCATCAGAGCATTAAGTAGCTGCAGATTCAACCCAAAGTCATCTATCCAACACCAACACATCGGTTTTGTGTATGAATTGCTAGTTCAGATCTGCAGTGCATGAATGAAGATGTCACTATGAACTGGATGTCAGTAGGCAGACTTAGTAATAAAGAGATACTCTTCAGAACAGTAGTGGGAATTACCCCAGTACAACAAAGATAAGCTTCCCATCTAGTTCTTCTGACACCTGGCAGCTTGAAAAAGCGAATGATAAAAAATGAATCCCACAGATTTGGCGTTTTCAGGGGAAACAATGATTAATCTAATTCTGCACTTACCCATCACAGTAGGACAAGCGCTGTGCTAAGGCGTACGCAGTAGGATCTCTGTCTAGTGCTAATACTTTAATATTAGAAGCCTGCTTCAGAATTGATGTGGTGTGACCTCCTGCACCAAAAGTCATATCCAATATAGTCTACACAGAGGAGAGAAAGAAATACACATAAATATAATACATGTTTGTGATTAGACAATTAAATATTTGAGAAGTCAAACAGCTTGTATCAACAGTGTTAATTTGCAAAAAGTGATATGCATGTTTATACATGTGATTAGTCTATCGTTTATACAGATAATTCATTCATGGGCCATGACTCCAAACTTACTCTTGTGCTTGCCTGCCTTAAGGATTCAATGTAGAATTCCATACAGTAAAAGGCACTTTTCACCAAACCATACACAGCAATACAGTCATATTTTTAAAGTGTATCTTTAGGCACATCTTTTTCTTTTAAGTTTTTGAGTGGGCACTGTAAGTTTCCCTTGGTGTCTCTGTCCCCATTTGCCAGATTCACCCCTCTTTTTACACTGGAACCATTGCCACCGAGAAAAAAAAATGAGGACAGGAAGTGAAGGCAAATTTCCCCAATGGTCCACCAACAGCTGGTCCACCAACAGCAAAAAATAGCTGTTTCTTTTAACATTAAATATCAATCCTTAAACTCTGAATACGTGACTTTGCCTAGGTTGAGATGATGTCATCAGTCTGCAGCAGACAGGACTTCCTCAGTCTACTCTCTCACAGCAATCAGACTGCAACATTGTATTTTGTTTAGCTAGTCTTAAGGTGAGAGACTACATTGTGCATACAGTCAAGAACTGCACCAGGATTTACATTACATCTCTAAGGCAGAATCTCAGTCCAGGAAGTAGATGATGACGCTAGATGATGCCAGAACAAAGATGATTTTGTCCCTTTTGAGGGAACAAAATGGTAAAAACATTGTCAAAGGGGTATATGGTGACCTTTGGGAGAGGCAATAAATTCCCATAAGAAGGAACACTTATACATTACTTAGCATGCATGGTTTTAACATAAATACCAAATTCTGGGTCCATGTTGTCCCTTTGTTAAATAAGGTTAATATTTGATCAATCCCTACTACACCCAAACATCTTATTTATGGCTCTTTTGCACTGAAATGAATGTATACATTTATAGGCCAGTGAAATCAAGGTCAAGGTCAGAATTATATTTTCTGGATAAAGAAAATCGTATTCCTCTAACTTCACTGTAAAGGATGTATAGCTCTCAGAGAGATATTTTTTTCAAGCTAATAAAAAAAAAGAAAAAGAATGACTCCCACTCCAATTTAAACGATCTAAAACACTACTTGTGAAAATTTTGCCAGGCGATCAAGTTCAATTCTTTTTAATCAGATAGAGCTAAATCGTATTATTTCTCCATGTCCTTGCAAAAAACAGAATGGAAAGTCACACTGGTTCTATATCATATGAGTCACACTCCTTTAGTTAAGTTATGATTCTGTGACAGATATACCCAAAGGAATTATAAAATCTGTTTACGACGGGGAAAAAAAATACTGGTTACTCTCTGGGTTCAGCTGTTTAACTGAAAATTTATAGCAGGTAAAAAATAGAAACATAGTATTCATCTCAACAATATACAGTATGTGATGCTTAAAAGAACATGTAAGGTTCCGGGTATTTTGTCTCTGAACAATACGTGACCACTTTCTGAATTACCTTTAGAGTGTTTATAATTATACCAAAATGATGGTTTTCCTTAAGGTTAGAGCAGTGCAAAAGTAATATTCCCTTCAATCACTCATTCACAAACTAAAAAAATAACACCTACTAATGGTCGTTTTCAAATATCTGAATCGGACATTATATGACTGTCTGTGGCAACTATTCCAGTAGTGGTGGCCAGTGATATACCACTGCAGTCTGGGCCCTGCTCCTTCCCTTGATGTCATGACACTGCCCTTTGAAGTTTTAAGGACCTAGCAAGCTTACTAATAGACCATTATTACAGCCAATGTGTGTTTTTATGCCGTAAGGCTACTTTGTTACATTGGAAACAGCCCCGGCCTCCTTCTACTGATTTGTTTCTGACTTTGTTGGTACGAGGTTGTCAATAAATACAAAGTGATTTATGAGTCTGTCCCAAGTAATATGGGGTCCGTGGCTGGGGATTCCTGTTCCTGATGCATGAACTTTGTGCATGTTTTATGCATTTACTAGGATATATTTCTCTGGTGTTATGTGTCACTTCTGTGGAGAGGGGCGGGAGTGAAGGTGTGAATGGTTTTGTAAGGGTGTGTGTCCCTTTTCCTTGTTTCAACCAGTGTGTTGTGATTGTAACAGTTTATTTCTTTTATGTTAATATGTTCTTTTGAAAAACTGATAATTAAACAGCTTTTAAAAAATTCTGACAGCCAATGGGAAGTGACCGCGTTGCTGGGTAGTGACGCGGACCATTAAAGCGGAACTAAACCCTCCTATTTTTAACAGCTAATTACGGTCCTATCGTAGCCTCTAGTTACCATGGTGGTGCACGTGTGATCAGCTATGACATCAGCTATTTGAGGGCTTGGAATTTTTACTGAGAGTGGAGATAAACCCACTGGCAAATGTCACAGTTATCACCAGAGAAATGCCTTAAATATAACCATTTTAAGAAACAGTTAAATCAGTGGGTATAGTTCAACTTTAAAGAAGAGATCTCCCATCGACCTAAAGAAATAAGACTTGTGGGGGGGGCGTGGCCGGCGGCTGCATGTGACTGGTCGCATAATGAAGAACTCCCGTTCCACATCCTGCCTTTTATCCTGGGGATAACAGTTACAGAGCCCTAACCTGCACCCGAACCGGCCCCAGACCTCTCCGTCACCTGCCCGCTCACTCCGGTACCGCTCTAGAGGCTGTCCGTGGCTGTCATGTCCAAGAAAAAGGACAGTCAGAGGATGGGCCTCATGTTCCAAGATGGCGGCGGCCAGCAGCACAGGGAGAAGGGAGGTGACACGGAGGCGCGGCTGGAGCGCTTTGCCCGGCAACCAGGGACTCCTGCTAAGCAGCCCCGAGCCTCACAAAACAGACAGGGCAGTGCCAGCAAGGAGCCAGAGGATGACTACCTCTCTTCCACTATGCATTCGGCGGTGGACTCGGAAAGCTCGGCCGCAGAATGGGACACAGTGAGTAACCCTGCCAAAACTGCTAAAAGCCCTAAATCTCATAAATCTAAGGCTAAGACCCGCCTGGCTGTGTCCCCAGAACCCACACTATCAGATGTATTCCATGCTGTACAGCTTTGCAACACCTCCCTTGCTGCGCTCTCTGATCAGGTGCAGGGCATGAGGGCTGACATCTCCTTTCTCCGCCATGACCTGCAGAAGGTGAGGGAGAGGACAACAGCAGTGGAGGGCAGAATTAGTGAAGTTGAGGATGCTACTACACCATTGATCTCTGATGTTAAAGTGGCTATAAAGAAAATTGCAGCTAATGCCATGAAAGCTGATGATATTGAAAATCGCCTGCGCCGAAATAATATTCGAGCGGTGGGCATACCTGAACGTGCTGAAGGAAACAATGCTACAGATTTCATGGAACAATGGCTTATGGATGTATTTGGCAAAGACTGCCTGACCCAGTTGTTTGCAGTAGAAAGGGCTCATCGTGTCCCTTCCCGACCTCTACCGCCGGGTAACCCTCCCAGGCCTCTCTTGATCAGGCTCCTGAACTATCGCGACAAGGAACGTATACTACGCAAGGCTCGGGAGCTGGGTGAAATCTCGCTAGCGGCCTCAAAGGTGATGCTCTTCCCGGACTTCTCGCAAGACGTTCAACAACGCCATGCAAAATTCCAAGAAGTCAAGCGGAGGTTACAAAAGATGAATCTTGCTTACTCCATGATTTACCCTGCAAAGCTCCGAGTAGTGGCGAATGGCGAGACACACTTCTTTGAGTCACCTCCTCAGGCCCTGACCTGGCTGGATCAGTGCCGCAATCGCCGCTCAGATGGCACCTGAAGCTGCTTCGCCGTTTGAGTTGCATTATGTCTTTACCGGGAATCCATGGAGGTCTTGGTGGCATGTGATCACCGCATTCCCCCTGGATCCTTGATTAGGAGCTCTCCGTGGCTCTTCCTTTTTTCCTATCCGGAAACCTTCGCAACCTCCCCTTTTTGTTTTGGTTTGCTCTTTTGGTTGTGTTGGTTTGTATACCATTGCCATTTGTGCACCTAATGGCATGGGTTTGTTACCTCCAGCTGCCAGGAAGTGGCCTTTGTGTTGTTGCTGCCTCTGAAGCTGCCTGGAGTCATGTACCCCAAAGTTTTCCCTGCGTGGATCGTTTGACTTACCTGTTTGTGTTTTTACCCCCCTTTTTTTTGTTTGTTTTTCACCTTCTTCTACCACAGGACTTTCACTGGTTCTACCTACGTATTTCTGCACGGATCCATATCGAGGGGACTTGGTCACTGGACATTCGAGTGTTGCTGCTGAGTATATCTATGTTGTCTTATGCATGTCACAGCGGGTATTTAAGTTAGCCTCCTGGAATGTCCGAGGCCTAGGCGATGCTGCTCAACGCCGTTCTATATTTGATAATATTGACAGGAGTGGGTCCTCTGTTGTCTGCCTGCAGGAGACGCATACCACCACAGAAACATATCATACCCTCGATAGACGGGCCTATCAAGCCACCTATCATTCCTCTCACTCCTCATACTCACGTGGTGTTTCCATTCTCATCCGTAGAGATATCCCATTCTCCTGCATACAGACAAAGAGGGATGATGCGGGCCGTTATATTTTCTTGCATTGCCGCCTCTTACAGTTTGAATGTATTATTGCTAACTTTTATATACCCCCACCATACTCCAGCAGTGCTATTAAGGACTTTGCTAAATTTTTGTCGGACAAGCTCCCTATGAACATGCAAACCACCATTGATAATTCAGGTAACAGGGCCCTACTTGCTTTAGACGTGGCAAAAGCCTTTGACAGTGTGGAATGGAGCTATCTCTGGGCGGTTCTATCTGCCTTTGGCTTTGGTCCTCGCTTCTGCAACTGGGTTCGCCTTCTCTACTACCAGCCGGTTGCGCGTATTAAAATCAATGATAGTTTCTCCCCATCATTCCCCTTGAAACGTGGTACCAGACAAGGTTGTCCT